GTCTTCTGCATAATTATGTTAGGGAGAACGTAGTACCCTGTAGCAGTTGAAATAGTGTCATTTTATTTTACGTTTTATTCTTTCATTGTTATTTTTTTGTTCTTAGTAAATGACCCATTCTTTCTATCTTTTAATTCGCATTTTTAAATTTATTTTATCGTTATCATCCTTGATGTATTTACAAACTACCATATCTTCCTCCGTTTTTTTTTCTCTCTCTTTTTCAAACTGCTTTCCGTTTTCTTCACAAATGCCACAAGTCTAGATCGCTTTTCGTCGCTCTAAAAGATATCAGCAAACCCCAAAATCTGGATAAAATACACCCTCCTTCTAGGCCTATAATCCTTTCAGAATTACGTATTAATCTCCATGAATCGAGATTGTATAAGACATGAGAAATTGGATTATCATTTAGTCATTAAAAGATCCAAGAGCTGCGTGGTATATGTTTAACAGAAAGACCTCTCTTTCTTTTAAGTATAGTCACTTTGCTTTTCAGTTCAACTAGCCTATTTTTCTGTTGTTAATGACATTAGTAACTTTCTAGAGACAACTTCTGTTTCTGTTTTGAGAAAATGTTGACTGCGGTTGCTCGGTTTTTATTGTTGTTATTATTTCTTTTTTTCTTCTGTTCCTTTTTCTTCTTTTTCCTCTTCTCATTTTTCTGTTGATTCTTCTTATTCTTCTCTTCCTCTTTCTTCTATTTCTTCCACTCTTTCTTCTGTTCTCCTTCTTCTTCTTCTCCCCTTTTCTTCTCTTTCTTCTCATTCTTCTCTTCCCTGTCCTTTTTATTATTATTTTTCTCCTCTTCCATCTTCTCCTCCTCCTCTTCTTCTTTCTCTTCCTTCTTCTTTTTCTTCTCTTCCTCTTTCTCTCTTCCTTCTTTTTCTTCTCTTCCTCTTTCTTCTTCCTCGTCCTTCCTCCTCCTCTTCTTCATTTTTTATTTTTCTCTTCCATCTTCTTCTTCTCTTCCTTCCTCTTCTCCTTATTTTCCTTTCTTCAAGAAATCTCATTGCTCGGAAAGCTGACCGAGAATTCAGGAATTTCATTACCTTGTCGGCCTTGTTTTCGAAGTATGAGAAAGGGTTAATAGCTTATATGGTCAGTATTTGCTGCTGGTGGAGGATTTTAAATTTCTGTGTTTCTGTGTCTGTTTTTTTTTTGTTTGTTTGTTTGTTTAATGGTTGTTTGTTTTTTTTGGGGGGGTTGTTTGTGTGTATTTGTGTCTAGCTCTGTCTCTCTCCCTCTTTCTCTCTTTTTCTCTCTTTCTCCCTCTCTATCTTTCTCCCTCTCTCTCTCTTGTTCTCTCTTGCTCTCTCTCAGATAGATAGATAAGTATTACACACGCACATGCATATACATACATACCCACACGCATACACACATTCAAACCAATGTGTTTCCAAAGATAAGGCGAAGTCGTAGGGCCATCTCACCCTTGCCTTAAGTAGGTGATTACATCTCTTAAACCCTTGAACCGTTGATCGTGAACCCTTTTACGACCTGCGACTGCGAAAAGTCATCTTAAAGATCTAGACTGATGACTAACTTTTTTTTTTAGACTGATGACTACCATTTTTTTTTAGACTGATGACTACCATTTTTTTAGACTGATGAGTACCTTTTTTCTTCTTTTTTCGTTTGGAGGAAAATTTCTTCAAAACGAATCCGGGAATGTAAGAAAAATATGAAGGAAAACGCTTTGATTTTTCGATAGTTGGGATATATCAGCCTCGTTATCGACTTTAGATTAGAATATGCTGATTGAACCGCTCGCTCTATGAATAATTATTTGTTAAAGTTCACTTGCTTTCGTACGTGTTCTGGTAATATGTGATTATTGATGTTAATTAAGGTGATTTAGTTTCATTTGCATATTATTAGCGTTTCACGATTAGCTATGACGTATGTTATAGGCATACGAATATATGAAACGCATTTCTTCTTCATATCACTCTTATCTACTAATCTACTTATAGTACTAGGTCTCTGTATCTTATGTAGATCGGTTTGGTTATGATATATACATGCAAATGTTTGCACACACATATACACACATATATATGTATATGTATATATGTGTGTTTGTGTTTGTGTGTGTGTGTGTGTGTGTGTGTATGTGTGTGTGTGTGTGTGTGTGTGTGTGTGTGTGTGTGTGTGTGTGTGTGTGTGTGTGTGTGTGTGTGTGTACAGACACACACACCTATCGAGCTTTCCGCTCGACAGGTCGCCAGGTTGTTGCACCCAGATCAGCAGCAAACAAGGGTAGATCTTTCAATGGAAATTTTGAACAAGCGGGATGAGGACTCGGAAGCTTTTCTACAGAGAACGGTGACAGGGATGAAATATGGCTCTGCCAGTACGACCCCGAGGACAAAATTCAATCAAAGCTGTAGCTGCCCGGGGGTGGAAGTGGACCAGTCAAAGCAAAATCTGAGCGTTCAAGAGGAAAGGTCATGGCCGCTGTCTTCTAGCATGCAGAGGAGATTTTGCTAGTCGA